TAAGGATACTAAGATACTTGTCGGTAATTACGAGAGGATCCTGCTAAAAAGAAGTCTAAATTATTTAATGAGACATGTTTTTACGTTCTTTCTATAGATCCAAATATTTAAAAAGCGGATATTTCCACATATTATTAAAAAAAATAATTTTTGTTTTTCGATGTTAAATATATTCGATATTAGACATTATCTTTTTTTCTGTGTTAGTGACCCAAATGTCTTTCTTGAACTGGCAGTGAAAGAATTCTGCGTGAAGGGTAATAAACAATTAAAACTGGTCCGAGAAAGAGTGAAAAAGATATCTATATTCTTATCTTTTAATGACCCCTGTGTGTTCTTAGATCTATTGCAATTTTTTAGTGTTTTTGCCAGCATGCGCACGCATACGTATATTCCCTCTCTCTCTATCTGTCTCGCTTTCTCTCTCTCTCTCTCTCTCTCTATATATATATATATATATATATATATATGAATAAAAATGACAATAGGAAATTGCTGACACGTTTCGTCCAATGTGGACTTTATCAAAGCAAAATACGAAAAATATGATAAAGTCCACATTGGACGAAACGCGTCAGCAATTACCAGTTTTCCTATTGTCTTTTTTATTCATAAATATTATCTTCTCTACCGATTAAATCGGAGAATTTTCATATATATATATATATATATATATATATATATATATATATATATATGAAGAAAAATATACGGAAAAAACAAACAAAAATCATAATATGCAATTATGCTGTTTTAATGTTAATATAAAAAGTCAACGTCGAACGTTTCGGTCTAATATACCATCTTCAGGACATATTCATAAATTAGACCGAAACGTCCGACGTTGACATTATATTAACATTAAAACAGCATAATTGCGTATTAGGATTTTTTTGTTTTCCATATATTTTTTCTTCATACTATCGGATCTATATCCATATATTTTGTTACATATATATATATATATATATATATATATATATATATATATATATATATATTGTCTTATTATAAGGAATTAGTATACACATATGTACACATACACATAGACACACATACATAAACACACATACATACACTTCTTATGTTGTGTAGGATTCGTGTGCGTGAACGTGAGCAGTTTTGTTTTTGTCAGTATGCGTATATACATACTAGTACACGCATTTACATGAGTACTCTCTCTATCTATCTATATATTATTGCTTAAAATTTCTTTGCTTACTTTTCATGTACGAAAATGAAGCCTGCTGAAATAGACATGAAAATGCTCTCACAAGAGATTAAAACAGTGTGCGGCGGAAATATTTTCCATACATACCTCCCACATAATTGAAACAGATTAGTAACAATTTTCTCGCCAGAAATATTTTACCAGTCATCCATGCATCGGATATTGCTGCTCCATATGGTCTGGTGTTCTTTTTTTATATTCAGAGATTCTTGATAAACTCCAAAGAAGAACCTACAAAGTTATTGGTCCTGACCTGGCATCTCGGCTTCAGTCACTTTCCAACCGCCGGTACGTAGCTTACCTGTGCCTTTTCTATAAACACTTTCATGGTAATTGCTTTGATAAACCTTCCTGTATGGTACCTATGCGCAATATTATATTAGCGGCAAGGTTTTCATAATTTTACAGTTGAAATGGTTAGATGTAACCGTAAGTTCTATGTTAACACTTTTTTATCTCGCACTTCTCGATTGTGGAACTCTCTCCGGCATCTTGCTTTCAGATCTAATTTGATCCTCAAAAATTTAAATACAATGTAAATCGTCATCTTCTGCCTTCTCTCTTCTTGTTCATGGTCCCTCTCTCCTTAATAGCATATTTTTTTTTATATTCTCTCGCATTCAGTAGCCGCTTGCATCTTAGTGGCTTTATTGCCTTGCACGAGGTGAAAAATGTCTTAATTTACCATTATGTGGGAGATATTTCGGTTGTACGTTCTAATTCTAAAGCAGATCTAACTAGTAGGCTTTATTCGGATCAAGGAATAACTCACTGATGGAAAAAGAGCATAAAGATTCAATTTCCGTAAACGGGAGCGTGAGATTGTTAGATCTAGGCCGGTGGACATTAATTTCAGTTTAAAATGACGTAGACGTCAAATTAAAGACATGTACACAATGAAAATAACGTTTATGGTAATAAGAAATACATATTGAACTGTTTTTTATGATACGAAAGACGGTCTTTATGAAGTCGTTTAAACTAAACTATCCTAATGCCATCTGATAGATATTAGAGCAAAGGTTTTGGGAAACCCAGTCTCTGTCTATCTTCCCGATTCATATGTTGATACGTGTAATGTTGCTAACCTAACCATATGTTTCTTTCTTTATCTCTCTCTCGTTCTCGCTCTCTTTATATATATATATATATATATATATATATACACACACTTTCCGCTTTTAAATTCAATCACCATTTTCTGTCTTAATTCTTATACATTTATTCCAGTCTCACTTTAATGGTAATTTTTCCCATAGTCTCTCGTAATCTGTAACATCTTGCGTCTTAGTGGCTTTATTGCCTTACTTGGGATGAGATGATTAAACACATATATATATATATTTGTGTGTGTGTATATATATATATATATATATATATATATATATATATATATATATATATATACGCGGTACTTAGTGGAAAGTGCTCAATATCTCTGATAGAGCTAACATATTCAGTTGTATGGATGATCTGTGAAAACCGTGAAACCCAGTGTTACAAACTCATATCCCTGCAACTGGACGTGCATATATATATATATATATATATATATATGTATATGTGTGTGTGTGTGTGTGTGTGTGTGTGTGTGAACATTGAAGTCAACACTTAGAGGCAACAGACTGTGTCCGGTTAGATGCAATCGTCCTGACGATTGTGCCTAGCATGAAACAGCCTGTCGCCTCTGAGTGTTGATTTCAATGTTCACCTTATATTTATATTTACATACGCTCTATCTCTGAGATTGAGCACTTTATCCGATAACACTAGCAGACCTTAAAAGTATATATCTATATATATATATATATATATATATATATGTATGTATGTATATATATATGTATGTATATATATATATATATATATATATATATATATATATATATAAATGTATGTATGTAAATATATGTATGTATATATATATATATAAATATGTGTGTGTGTGTGTATGTATATATATATATATGTATGGGGAGAGAGAGATCACAAGGGAGGCTGTTTTTAGCATATGTTGGCATATGTTTTCAAATCACTTTCAAGTACGCTATTACATCCTAATGTATGTGCTTTAATGTCCGTCATTCTAACTTCTGTCAGGATGTCGTTGTGTTTACCAACGTACTTATACCTATCTGCAATCTTCAATAATATCCATGCGTATACATATCTATATATTCTGTACCTCCTTAAAAAAGAAGATTTAAAAAAGAAAACAAAATCTTTCTCTTAACTCTTGAACAGCTCCAAAAATAACTCTTAAGAAAAAATAATAATTCGTGAGCCAAATTCTACTTGTGTGGTCGTTAAAGTTATGTTTCACTTTCTTTCGTTTATTTTTTATATTTTAAATTTTTTTTTGTCTCAAGAATAGCCTAATGATATTTTTTTTCTGTTGTCATGAGGACATTGTATCCGAAAATGACTTCCTTATGTTGAATAGTCATTTTCTGAGTTAGTTTTTGCGCTTAGGAATACAATCAATACGTGTGTGGGGCAAAAACTTGATTCGAAACTCCGTAAGCGGATGATACAACATTTGAGTTTAGAGTTTCGGAATGTCTTTTGAGACCTATCACCACTTGTAATTCCGTCCTGGGTAAGACGATAAAGTACATACGATGTCCTGGGTAAAACGATAAACTACGTTCAACAGCAAGGCCTGCGATGAGGAGGCTTTGAGGAGAGTGGAAACACCTCTTAATTACTGATATTCCCAGGTCCACCCTGACCCGGGGTGGTAGCAACTTGTTGGTTCCCAACTATGGTCAGATAGTTAACCCCCAAACTGGGCTCAAAACACTATAAAAAAAACTTTATACGCTGTACATTTTTGAATGAAAAATATTACTAGCAGTAAAAATCTTGTCAGCATTGAGGTTGATATGCTGTAAAACAAAACAAACCAAACCAATATATACTGAAATAGATAGATAGATAGATAGATAGATAGATAGATAGATAAAAAAATATTACCAGCAATAAAAATCTTGTCGGCATTAAATAACCCATTGAGGTGTTCATATGCCGTAAAACAAGTCAAACCAAACCAATATATACTGAGCTAGCTAGCTAGATAAAAAATATTACCAGCAATAAAAATCTTGTCGACTTTAAATAACCTATTGCACTAAAATAAAAGCAAACCAAACCAATATATCCTGAGATAGATAGATAGATAGATAGATAGATAGATAGATAGATAGATAGATAAAAAATATTACCAGCAATAAAAATCTTGTCAGCATTAAATGTCATTGAGGTTGACATGCCGTAAAACAAACCAAACCAAACCAATATATACTGATATAGATAGATAGATAATATTACGAGCAATAAAACTATTGTCGGTATTAAATAACCCATTGAGGTGTTGATATGCCGTAAAACAGACCAAACCATACAACTTGCAATCATGAACAGAGACTAAATAGTAATGAATATACGATAGATCAAAATATCCGATTTTTTTTGCAGTACTTGGGAAGAAGAACCTTCTTCTATATACCTTATCACTTCAGAACATTGCGGATCATGGCTCTCCACAATTTCCTGTCCTTTGTAGCTTTTAATAAATTTTATCATTTTGTTATCGCCCACCATACAACTCTGTCATACATTTATTCAAGCTTGTTTGGTCGATTACGTATTGTTTTCTAATGATCCACTTGCATTCCTTCTGTCATATGAGTATCACATTTTCCAAGTCCTCTTTCCTCATTATGTGCACCATAAATTTCATTTGTTTCATCTTGTTATTAAACGGGCTTATGGCCACATCACACTGAAACACTGATTCTCGTACGATCACTGAAGTTAAGCAACACCGTGCTTGGTCAGTACCTAGATGAGTAACCTCTTGTGAATACCAGGTTCTGTAAGCTTGGATGTGCTGGTGTTGTAATGGATAATGACAGGGTAATGTTAATCGGAGAGCCGGGTACCGATACGAACACCGAAGGTAAGCAACATCCATCCAGGTCAGTACGTATATGGGTGTCCGCTTGAGAATACCAGGTGTTGTAAGTTTGGATGTGCTGGTGGTGTAATGGATAAAGGCTCTGAATTGTTTATTGGAGAGCCGACTTCCGTTATGATCACTGAAGTTAAGCAATATTCATCAATGTCAATACCTTGATGGGTGACCACTTGGGAATACCAGATGCTGTAAGCTTGGATGTGCTGGTAGTGTAACGGATAATGATTGTGGAGTGTCAATCTGCTCTCCCCAGATATGGGTTAATTAGTAAAACTTGTATCACAAAAAAATCCCACTATTATCTTCAAATATTTGCGTACAAAATATTTCGGCTTTAAATAACACAGAACGTTTTTGAATCCTGCTAAAAGAAAAAGAAAAGAAGAAAAAACATAGCAAAAACACAAAAACAAAAGCATAAGTGCCCTTTTTGTTTCTATTTACTCAGAAACTTTACTATTGCTCACATATTTGGTTCATGGTATTCTCAGCATCCTTCTGTAGAACCACATTTATGTTGCTTTTAATCTCTTCATCTGTGAGGAGATTGCTATATTGGAGGACCAATCTTACGAAAGGTTCATTTCTCTTTGAAAACTTTGCTTATCTAGGCATCTTTGGCTACCACATGAAGGTGACAAGACACATCCTTGTCTTAAATGACTTCTTATCGACATGTTTTATTTTTAAAAAAATAATTTACATTCGTAGATATGCCCCACCCGCACTTATAGGTCGGAGGGTCAAGAAAAAAAATTTGCATACAATAAAACTTTTAAAAATATATAACTTAATATTTGAAAAAATAAGTAATTTAAACTGAGTCCAATTTTATTCGATATACAGGGTGTTTCAAAAAATTTGATATCCTTTGAGATGTAAATATCACAGAAAGTACATGATTAAGGCAAATGAAATTAAAAAGTATTGATGTTGAAGATCATAAGATTTATTCTTGCAAATCTGAATGAGAAATTCAAAAGCATGTGGATTATGTGAACGATTTCACAAATGTGAAGTTTGTGGTCGTCCGGATCTTTTTGCTCTGCACAGATAGCCTTCCTCTTTGAACTTTTTATGCCATCTCCAAATCTGCATTCCTGTTGGTGACTTTCTAGAGAACTCTCTCATAAATGCACGCTGCACAGTCTTGTTTGACTGTGTTCTAGCACACTCCAACACACAAAACGCCTTTTCTCTTCTAGTAAATAGCATTTTTATACCTGTAAAGAAAAAGATTAAAGATTACAGAACATAAAAATACAAATAAGAAAAACAGAAAAACATAAAGACATAAAAACATAAAACAAACATTAAACATAAAAATGCTATTAAAATTTGAAGTCATTTGAAGGAGATCTAACAAAATTATTAGATTGCGAAATGATATCAAATTTTTGAAACACCCTGTATTATTAAAGATCTTGTATTAATTATTCAGTTTTAGACCGAATATAGTTCTGGGTTTGACAATAAACAACACCCAGCAGCAAGGCCTTTGATCGAGAGATTGGAGAAGTTTGAGGAGAGTGGAACCACCAATTAATTGCTCTTGTTCCGAGGCCCAACCCTGACTCGGGGTTGTAACCCCTGTTAGGGTGCTACCTATCGGCAAATAGTGAATCCCTAAACAAAGGCAAAACACTATGAAAGTATAAAATACATTTTTATAGTAAAATCATCAACAATATTAAAGCAAAATTAGCGAAAATTCATTTTATAGAAAAAAACAAAGAAAAAGCTTCCAGAAGTAAAAGAAATCAAGCATCTTCCAGAAGATACCGTCTTCTAGTAATTGAAAGTAAAGATCCCGGTTTCCAGAAGATGAAAGAAAAAATCCCGGCCTTTCAGAAGATGAAAGAAGAAATCCCTGCTTCTGGAAAATGAAAGAAAAGTAGCCGGCTTCTAGAAGATGAAAGAAAAAAAAAATCTCGGCTTCCAGAAGATGAAAGAAAAGAAGCCGGCTTCCAGAAGATGAAGGAAACATTCCCGGCTTCCAGAAGATGAAAGAAAAGAAGCCGGCTTCCAGAAGATGAAGGAAACATTCCCGGCTTCCAGAAGATGAAAGAAAAGAAGCCGGCTTCCAGAAGATGAAAGGAAAAAATCTCGGCTTCCAGAAGATGAAAGAAAAGAAGCCGGCTTCCAGAAGATGAAGGAAACATTCCCGGCTTCCAGAAGATGAAAGAAAAGAAGCCGGCTTCCAGAAGATGAAGGAAACATTCACGGCTTCCAGAAGATGAAAGAAAAGAAGCCGGCTTCCAGAAGATGAAGGAAAAAATCCCGTCTTCTAGAAAATGAAAGAATAGAAGCCGTCCTGCAGAAGATGAAAGAAAAAAAATCCAGGTTTCCAGAAGATGAAAGAAAAGAAGCCGTTTTCCAAAAGATGAAAGAAAAATCCCGGCTTCCAGAAGATAAAAGAAAAAATCCCATCTTCTAGAAAATGAAAGAAAAGAAGCAGTCCTGCAGAAGATGAAAGAAAAAATCCCTGCTTCCAGAAGATGAAAGAAAAGAACCCGGCTGACAGGAAAACTTTTATCTGTAGTTGAGGGCATGCAGTTGCGTGCAAAATATATTTAATTGACTTCATAAAATTGTGTTCAAAATATTTAGATTTCGATATTAAATGACCCATAGAGGTGTTGATATGCCATTAAATAGAACCAAGCAACTAATCAGACTGAATACAATCATTTTTTTTTATTAAAAATATTAACGAGGTACGATATCGCTACTGAATAGATACGAACTTAAATTCCCTCGTAGTTAAAAACCGTATTGTGTTAAGGCATTTTCTTCATTTAAATTTTATTATAAAACAATGATTTTAATCCTGCCGTTGAAAGATTTTAAGGAAAAAAAAAAAGAATATATAATTTGAATAATATGAAGGTTTGCAATGTTTTGTCAGTTAAAATCAACTGATGCTCGAAAAGTTTGTTTCAAAAGAAAAAAAAATCATGGTCACACTTTATGTATTTTTGTAGGTGACCAAAAAAAAAGATGTATTTTAGCCACTTTTAAATAGCTTAAACTTTTCTTGAATAGGACCAATTAAATTTAATTTTGGAGGAAGATCTGGATGGATCAAGGGATATTAATTCGTAAATGAGAAATCACATAATACCGCTTGGCTGGCCTCTTTGAGTTTTGTCATGATACTGGATCACTTGCATATTTCGCTTCGTGCCAAGGGCCCGGCAGTTCCTCTGATCATTTCTTGTAACCACTACTAATATAATTAGGACTCTTCAGTCTTTGGTAATTGTATTGTTGGGCTCCTTTACTAAGAACTTGTAATTCAGAAAGTATTTTCAATGCCCAGACATTTTTCAAGGTTTTAAATTTCTCAGCAAAGGTGTCTTTGTCTTGTTGCTACCATATTTGGAAGACATAACTTCGAACCCTTCTATTGTTAATAGTTAAAGTACACCAATCCGGCGCAGAAGAGATATTCCTATAAGGCCCTCGTTTCTGGTTAAGGTCCATATTTATGTGCCTCTAAATCTACTCATTTATTGAGAAATCTTTCATATCATGAATGACAGCAGACTTTATCAAGGTTCAGTATTTTCACGTCTTTTCTACATTTAATACAGACTGACTTTTTAAAAGTTTCCCCTTTAAAATTTTAAAAAGTTTTTCTCAAGGATCGGATTAACTTTCAAATTGCTGGTATTGAAAGAAGAAGAAGGAAAAGTAAAACCATTCAAAAAAAAAAAAAAAAAAAAAATAAAATACGTCCCAGAAGAAAAAAAAAGATCTCCCAGAAGAATAAAGAAAATGAAGCCAGCTTCCAGAAGAAAAAATGAAGCCGGCTTCCAGAAGAAAAAATGAAGCCGGCTTCCAGAAGAAAAGGAAATGCGGTAACCTTCTTTCACCGAAGAAAAAAAAAGAAGCCGGCTTCCAGAAGAAAAAGAACTCAGAAGAAGGAGAAGAACTCAGTTTCAAGAAGAAAAAGGAATTGTTATTAGAAGAAGGAACCTTTTTCCAGAAAAAGAGAAAACCCAGTGTTCAGAAGAAGAAAAGAAAAAGAAGGGAACACGTTTTCCAGAAGAAAGACAAGCACTGTTTCCAGAAGAAGGAGAAGAACTCAGTTTCCAGAAGGAGAAGAACTCAGTTTCAAGAAGAAGGAAAAGAACATTGTTATTAGAAGAAGGAGAAGAACTCAGTTTTCAGAAGAAAGAGAAGAACCCAGTTTCCAGAAGAGGGAAAAGATCCCAGTTTCCAGAAGAAGGGAAATAACTCAGTTTCCAGAAGGAGAAGAACCCAGTTTCAAGAAAGAAGGGAACACATTTTGCAGAAGATAGAAAAGAACTGTTTCCAGAAGAAGGGGAAGAACTCAACTTCTAGAAGAAGGGGAAGAACTCAGTTTCCAGAAGATGGAAATAACTCACTTTCCAGAAGAAGATCCTAGTTTCCAGAAGAAGGAAAATAACATAGTTTTAGGAAGAAGGGAAAGAATCAACTTTTTAGAAGAAAAGAAAAACAGATTTCAATGAAGAAGAAAAACAGCACAAAGAAGAAGGAAAAATGGAAAACTTCCAGAAGAAGACAGAAAAGAAAAACGTTTCCAGTAGAAAAGAGAATACAATAGCTTTCTTAACAAGAGAGAAAAAATTGGATTCTTATTGAAGAAGAAAGAAGAGGGCAAAGTTTACAGAAGAAAGAAATGAACTCAACTTCCAGAAGAAGAAAAGGAGTACCCGGCATCTAGAATAATAGAAAAAAAATATTCCAATAGAAAGAAAAAAGAAGCCTTCAATAGAAAGGAAAAGAGTACCCAGAAGAAGAAAATAAAAGAACTACGAGAACGAGAAAGGAATGAAAACAGCTTCCGGAAGACAGAAAAACAGCTCCCAGAAGAAAAGAAAAAAATCCCAGAACAGTAAAGAAAAGAAGACAA